ATACAAAACAAAATACTAATGCAGGGTGAGTCCCTCTATGATAATTTCTTGCTATCTTAATGTAACATTTTTAAAATAAAAAAGTAAAACATTATAAAATACAACAAGCTTTTGGCAAAGTTACTTAGACTTCATTCATTACTATTTGACACCACCTATTTTAAAGTAAATTTTTTTGCTGTTTTTTTTCGATGTCATTTTCATGTTACAGTTCGGATAATATGCTCCAAAGTTGCCCTGCATCAAATGCTTTGTTAACATATATCCATCTACTTTTAAAACTACTTTCATTCACAGAGAAAAACCTAAAAGGAATCTGTTAAAATCCTGTTTTCAGTTTGTTGATAAACTTCTTATCACTTAGACCATATATCATAAAACTAATCAAAATAATAGCTCTTTGTCCCCTGCGGGACACAACATATATCCTCTGCTCTACATCTGTCATTCATTCTGTGTCTACTAGACACTAACCTCTACAAAGAACCAGCCAAAGGCTAGGAACTTGACATAAAAATGAATATGACATAATTTTCTGCCCTTAACTTTGCTCAAAGTCTCTTGAGAGAACAAACATTATTTACAATACAATATGATAAATGCTATGAAAGAAGGATGTGTGACGTACTTTGGTAAATACTGTTGAATTGGAATTTAAGGAGAACATGTAAACTTTAGACCTTTTTATAAAATACTTTTCTTTTGAAACAAAACAGATTTCTTTTTATAATGATTTACCAGAAGAGACTTTGTAGGACATTGTTGTTGACCTGAATTACATAACAGTGTTTTCTTAATGAATTGTGAAGCATTTTTTCCCTTTAAAATGAACACTGAACAAATTTGTTGTTAGTGTTATCTAGTTAAAAGGAAAACATAACTAAATAAAATACTTTATCAAAGCCAAGTATTCGAGTTTATTTGACATTTGATATTTTTACAAAATAACAATCCCTACTAACACAACTTTTTAAAAATAATTTTAACTCAGAGTCTTTAAGCTAACAAAACATTGTGGCACCCATTAGCTCTCTTGTTCTTTACAAATATTCTGTGTGGTAGGTGCTACTATCTCCAATGTATAGATAAAGAAATCCTTGTTAATGTAATTTATTTATTCATTCAGACATTTACAATGTGCACCTGGCACAGGGGGTAAAAATGTAGTAATCTAGAAAGTTCTAGGTGACACTGGTCTTTGGCCTCCAAATCCTTTATTCTGCCCTTCACATTATAACCTTGTGCTACATACATGAATCATTAAAACAGGGCAAGTCATGTGTCTCAAAAATTAAAATAAAAAATATTGTGTGTAAAGACAGTCTATGAAGTCATTGTTATCTTTTCTAGGTTACACTTTATAATGTTGGTTTTTTATCTCATTTCTCAGTATTAGAATACAGGTAAATTTTAATTTTGGTATAATACAGAAAATGGTTCATCTTTATGCCAGAACATGGGATTCTTTTGGTATTTAGACAGTTGGAAACTTTCTGAACTTAATAATTTTATAGTTTGTATTAAACAACTGCATATCCTTTTCACAAAAACATCCTGAGTATGTTGATATTAAAAATTTCTCCAAGGAAATTACTGTAATGCTGATTATTTCCAAAATATGTACAGAAACATTTCTGTGGGAATCTTTCCCCTAAATTGATCTCCTAAAATACTTCTGTAGAAGTCTCTCTCCCTGAAGTGAAAGAAACTGTAAGCAAAATAAAGATATATAAAGTCTGGAAGAAGAATTATCATTTTCATTTTTATGGCTCAAATTATATCTAAACATACATTATAGTTTATCTACACTGTTTGTAATACTGGTTATGCAGTCTACACCAGATATATGAAGGACTATGAAAACCGTCTGTCCTGACGATTATTTGAGGCCCACATGAAGATTTATTTGTAGATTTGCTTACCAAAGCATTATTTTAATAACAAGGAAATAAGATATTTTCTTTTATTGATTTTTTTCTGGTTATTAAAATATTATGTAGTGCTTTAATTCAAGAAATACTATTTTAACATTCACTAAGAGATGCTGAGTAAACTAGGATGAACCAGATAGACATAGTTCCTGTCCTTGAGTCTACAGGAAAAAATACTCATTTATCCTACCCCCACTGCTCCCCACCCTCTCTGTAATGTCCTTTTAGAATGAGTTGAATCTAATATGACATATCAGCCTTTAACTTCTAGGCTTTTAAAATTTGTGCTCCAAAAGGTAAGAAAAAAAAAATCTTTGGGTTCAATGTCAAGAAAGAAAATATGCCCACTTCTCAGATGAATTTTCAGTTTAATTATTTAGTATTTCAGATCTTGTTATCTCTAAATTCTCTATTCTCATGAACTTCTATTTTCGTTCTCTTAACGACCAATCCTTACATATTGCCCTTTCCTTAGCTTGGTCATTTAGCCAACTCCCTGTCATCTTTTTAAGTCCTAGATCTGATGCTCCCTCTCTCTGTGACACTTCCCCTTAAAATACCAAAGTGACATAAGTGCTTCTCTCCTTTAGTCCTGTTTTATACATAACTTGGATAAAGTCATCATCTTATTATAATGTTATTGTCTGCATATCTACCTTCATTTTCTGAGTTCTTTCAAGGCTGTGTGTGTGTGTGTGTGTGTGTGTGTGTTTTGATCTTTTTCTTTTTGGGCCTCAGGGGTGTGATATGAATATATTAGCCATTCAAATACTAGCACACTTTTCCTAGCAGATACCAGAAAATCTAAACCACTCCTTTGGCTTAGATTCAAAGGGATTGTAGATAGAATCCACTGATATTTTCCTAGTAATGGTAAGTGCTCTTTTACCATTGGGATGAATTTTACAATTGGTATTATGTACCACATGTCTATGCTAGAGAATGTCAATGTCAATGAACACTTAAATGTGTGTTTATATTGTGAGATTTAAAGATTACTAGTCCAACAATGAACTTTCAGTCTGTTGCTCTGATTACGGTAAAAATTCTTGAACTGTCATGTTTTCTGAAGGAAAGGAATCTATGGTAAAGCAATTAACTCTGTTGGAAAATTTTAAACAGAAGTCTTCAAGTTTAGTGCACCTTAAGTGCATTCTCACAGTCTTATAAAGAAACAAAATTTCTCAACCTTAATGATCTCTCAATGATCAGAGGTATTTTGGAGGTGGTGGCAGATGGTAACATACTAATATCTTGACAAATACATCTTAGGAAATGCTTAACCAGAAATTCTCTGCTGCTAGAAAATGGCTTTTAAAGTAAATAGAAAAAGACTTTGTTGAAATTTTTTCAGATTGTCAAAATCTCTAAAAATTATCAAATTATAAAATCATGTTTTTTTTTAAAGAACAGGTATATTTTAACTACACTAACTCCCCCAAATTGTTTCAGCCTTAAGGTAAAATAACTTACTTTATGAAGAACAACAGCAATAAGTGAATACTAGGAAAAAATGGAAGAGAAATACTCATTTGAAGAGTCAGTCACCAACACTGTTATCATTTAATATGCAGTTTTAGCTAGATATTCATGAGAGAGAAAAATCATCCCTGACATTCAGAAACTAGCTTGACACTGCTAGACATTTTTGGTGTTTTTCTATTGCACACAAAAATCTCATATTACATGAAAATGAGACAAGGTCACCCTGTGACTGTACTGACTCAATGAGGGGGAAAAAAATGCCAGTTCATAATTTTGTCTAAGCAGAGACAAAAGGAACGTCACTATGCAAACCACAAAGGTATTAGGTTTTATTATTAATAATAACTCTTACCCAGTTGTCTAGTATCACTGATATTGGCCAGCCAGCTTTCTGAGGCAATCTAATTACCTATGCTAAAGAGGCCAATACAAAATAAAGTGGGCACATAATTAATTTCTGCATAAAGACTATATATGCATGTTGTCTAGTAAAAGAAAGCCACTACTATTTAGTGCTATTTCACACTTTTGGCTCTCAGTCACTCAGATGTCTTACCAAAGTTAAGGGCTTTAAGTAGTCTTGGTGTATATTAATAGTGTGAGTTTGTTTTTTTTTTTACATTTTTTATTGAGTAATGGTCATTTTACAATGTTCTGTCAAATTCTAGTGTAGAGCACAATTTTTCAGTTATACATGAACATATATACATTTATTGTCTCATTTTTTTTCGCTATGAGCTGCCACAAGATCTTGTATATATTTCCCTGTGCTATACAGTATAATCTTGTTTATCTAATAGTGTGAGTTTTTAAAAAGTAATTACATTTAGTGGGTTAAAACACATGCGGGACTATGTCTGAAACTGATTTGCCTCCTCTTACTAAACCTTTAACAGTTAACCGAAAAAGTTCAGGATATAATGTAATTATCAATTAGTTACTGTTAATCCAGGAAAACAAAAGTTAATTTCAAATAAAGCATTAAATCAGCCACAAGATTTTTCAGGTTTGTAATGGTAATAAGACATTCTGCTTTCTAAACGAATTGACTGAATGCCCAGACTTTAAATATGAGGGATGCGGGAAGAGGTTTCCATAATGTTCCACATAATAATTTGAGAGTTGAAAAGTAGGAACTATGTCTAGCTATCCTCACGTCTCTAGCTGCCAGCAGTGTCAGCACACTGTACGTACTAAACAGTGTTGTCGTTTTTAAATGATTTTCTTAGTCACAAAATTCCCTTTTTGCAGCCCAATATATCCCCCTCCCCCTAAAAAGTCCATAATATTATATGGCATGAACTGTTCATAGATGAAAAAACATTCGAATATTATGCTTGAAATGGATTTAGTGGGTCTTAATTCACGGGCATTCATTCCTCTATTCTATTACTACCATGGTGGTGGTTTAACATTTTAGCGTTTGGGTCTGTCCTCCAGGTATCTAGAGCCTAAGCAGCATCACACACCCACACATCCCCAACAACAGCCAACCTCCGAGGGTCCTCTGGGCCCGCCTGCCCTGGGAGCCGCCCTTTAAACGCTCACGTAAGCGAGGCGACGTCCACGGATGGCCGCGGCGCATGCGCGCAGGAAGCGAGCCACCGGAGGCGGACACGCGGCGAAGCGTGGACTGAGCTCCAGGGCCCTTCGGCCCTGGCCCTCGGGCCCGGGCCCCTGAGGCGGCGCGGGCAGCCGTAGGGACGTGACCGCCCTCTGTCGCGCCGGGCTCGCTGCCGGGACTCTGAGTTCGGGCTCCGCCACCCTGGCTCTGTGCGCCACCAACCCCAGGCGTCAGCGCGGGGATGGGGGCGAGGGGCGGAGCTCGCCATCCTGGGCCGCTGATTGGCTGCCTCAGCTGCCCTTTCACCTTCCCGGCGGCGGAGTTGACGTGTGAAGCGACCGCAGTCCGCCAGCCGGCGCTCTGAGGCACTGCGCTTGGCTTTTCCAGTGAGGCGTCAGCCTCGTCCAGGCTCCAGCAGCAGCGCTCCACCAACCCAGTTTCCGGAAGTAGTTTGGGTTTATAGTATTTCGTCGGCCAGTGGAAGATGTTGGAAATTATGTTCGCCTCTGCACGAATGTTTTGCTGGCAATTTAAATGACTTTATTTTTCTCAGAAACGCAGGCTATTTTCTCCCCTAGATGTTCTTATCTTTATTTTTCATGACAGATCTTGACGACAGTATATACAAAAAATATTTAAAGATGATAACTAACATAGTTATATTGAGCTTGATCATTTGCATTTCTTTAGCTTTCTGGATTCTGTCTATGACTGCAAGCACCTATTATGGTAAGTATGAATGTTCGATGTTGTCTTTCTATAATCTAACTAGTGGGATTTAAAATGTTCTGTTGTGAAGGCCAAAACTCATATCCCCTGAAGGGCTGTAAGCTGTTGTGTATACATAACTTCCACGACCTGAACTGCATTTACTAACGTGGAAATATACAGTGCCTTGAGGGTTTTAATGCCTTTAATAAATGCTTCTTGTCATAGCACCAGTTATGCGGGTTCCAAAATATGGTTTCAGTGTTTTATGTAATTATTGCATTTATCTCCATGAAAAATAAGTGAGGTGATACAAAATTTTATATAACAATTACAGTGCTGCTTTTAATAAGAATTTAGTAACATAGCTTATCCATTTCATGTGTCCCATAAAAAATAACACAAGCTGATATAATGTTTATATTTGGAGATTTAGAGGAGTTGTCTGCTGTTTGGTCACTTCAAAAGAACAGGCTTGTTTTAAAGCCTGAAGCCAATCTGTATAAATATGAGGTGTTCTGCACTCAAATATTTAAGGTTTTGAAGCTGCCTAAGAGCTTAAGTATGCCTTTGTACAAACTTCCTTGGCGCCCCCTTTATAAAAACAGAATACTATTCAGTTCAAAGGAAAAAGTGAGAAGTAGGGTGAGAAAATGAACTCTTATAAGTGGTTATTTCATAAGTGATTGTCATTGTAGACCTAAGTCCTTTTGCAAAGAGACGTGAATAATCGAATGGGTGTTTTCCAAGGTACAGAAGCTTTCAAGGCTGTTCATTCATGATGATTCTCAGCAGGGGATGAGGGCTTGCGGAGGAGAGGTATGGGAGAAGATTCTCCCTGATGCCAGTATTTACTGTGACTTGAACCAGGATGTGTAAATTTAAGTGACCCTCTGGGTCTAGGTACCTGATGAAGAAAAGCGAAGCTATCCAAGTATTTTCTTTTCATATTAAACATGTGAAAATAGTTTACACTTCCAGAAATAGGATTTTCCCAGATTTTTTTTTGAACGTTTGACCCTCTTTGTCTTGAATTTTCCAATTTTTGGTAGAAACATGAGCACAAACAATAGTTTGCATTTTTATTTACTATAGTCGCTCAGCCTTAGAGTTTAGGGTCTGTCAGAAATGGTGGGAACTTTAAATGGGAAAGCTATGACCTGTCCAAAGCAGGCAGCCTCTCTTCACCTGCAGTCAGTTCTGCCGCATGGTCATGAACTTACAGTTTCTAAAACAGAAAACAAAGAGTCTGGATTTTTATATGAAATTTCCTAATCTTTAAATATTGGCTCACATTGTCTGAAAAAAATTATGCTAGTCAAACAGAACATCTGTAAGCTGGATGCAACCTTTGGAAAAATCAGTTGCTAACCTTTGAATCCTAAAGTGTGTGTACCTGTGAGAATGTTACCTCTTTAAAAAAAAATCTCTGAAAAGCAGAGAGAGGAATAATTGAATCCTGTTAAGAAAGGAGATTTAATACATACCTCCTTTCCAGAAAAATAAGGAACCAGAGATTCATTGCAAATATTCAAATATGTATCAAATATGTATTACTATAAATAGTTATAAATGGTTCTCAAAACTTAGACAGGACTTCCTTAGTCGTTCCCCAGTAGGATTGTCTCTTTGAAAATTTACAAGTCTCAACATAAATATTTTACTTTGGTGGCTTCATCTCACTTTCTCTATTTAACACAGTATTTTATTCCAGAACACAGTTATAAGAGACTGTAGTCACGAATAACCTGTTCAGGCTTCACATGGTTTATGCTTTACCTTCATAATTTTTCAGGTAATTTGCAGCCTGTTTCTCCTTGGCGTTGGCTGTTTTCTGTTGTTGTTCCTGTCTTGATCGTCTCTAATGGCTTTAAAAAGAAAAGTCTAGATCACAGTGGGGCTTTAGGAGGTATGTTTTTCTTTTAAGTGTTTAACCATATAATAAGTGCTTGCTTATATAATTTAAACTTATATTTTCTAAATTCTGAACCTATGAGACTATAAATCATAATGTTATGTATTTTAGACAGTGATAAAATTATGCATCGGTCAGCATTCCTGTTCTGTCAAAATGTCATATACTTACGTACGCATTAGTGTGATGTACAAATTAAACTTTGTAATTGATGTGAAGTAGGTTAATAGGATAGACTTCTGAGGACCTTGATTTCTCTGCTCCTTAGCTGGATTAAATTTTTTGCTAGCAGAGACATTGGAGCCTTCCTTTTAGGTATAGAATAGTGAAGCCGTTGGGAAACTGCTATTAGTAGCCTCAAGCAGAGTAGTCCCAACTGAGTGTTCTGGATTTATTTTTCAGAATTGAGTTGGGTTCAGGCCATTTGTTCTTTTAGCAAATATTTTTTGAGCACTTACCATGTGCCACTCTTCTAGAAACTGAGGCTACAGCTGTGAGCAAGGACAAGGTTTCAGATTTTATGGACCTTTTATTCTTTAGTTCAGATAGATAATAAAATACATAAAACTTAAGTACAAAGTTTGAAGTACAGTGTTATAAATGTTAGTTATTACTGTTTTCCTTCCACAACTACTATTCACAGCCAAAGAAATTTTACTAAGATTTGCCATATCATGTCTTTAGTGTGCTTGAGATTGAGAAGTTTCAGAACTTCCTTAGGATCTGGGTATTTAGCGTCCTCCATGACACAGGAACACATACCTCGGTGTTGAAAGAAGAGGGAAGGGGATGAGGCAGTGTTTAGGGTGGATACTGAAGTGGAGGGCTCTGATCTCCTTGAAAGAAAGAATATTTCTACAGTAAGGAGAGAATCACAGGAAGGGTTATGTAAGAAGGTGCTTGAAAACTGCAAAGCACTGTGAAAGTGATTTGCTTGAAGGAAGGTGTTACCTAGTATAGTTATTCATTGTGTTCCTTTGAACATGTCTGTGTGGACAGTTTGCCTTCAGTCTCTTGACAAGTTTAAACTTAATTTCATTTGCCAAGACTCTTAGCCTTAGTGGTTTCCCTTTTTTTTTTCATTCATTCAGTAAATATTAGGTGAGGGTTTTTTGTATGCCAGGCACTGTTCTGGGCATTCAGGATTTAGCAGTGAACAAAACAGATAACAATCCCACTGTCAGAGAGCTTACATTTCTAGTCAGGGGAGACAGATGATAAATAAGAAGGGTTTAAGGCATTTCATCCTCAGAAGGAGATGCTGTGAGTATAATGGAAGTGCACAGCCAATGGGGTGTTGTCAGAAAAGGCCAGTGGTTGTGCTTCTTGTGGTCTCACAAGGATGGCCTTACCTCTTTTGGGTCATCGTAATTCAGGTCTGGTGTTCATTATTTCTGAAATAGAAACCTCATTCTATCATATACCCAGAGTTAGTCAGAGGCAAGAAAACTGGTTTAGGTAGCCCTTTGTCCCAAGGAACTAATAAATGAGCCAGAATACAGAACTACGAGCCAATAAGAATGCAGACATCACTGTTCAGACTTGCTCTGTTCTTGCAATTGGGCCGCTTGAGGAGGCAGATTGTAATTAGAAGATTGTTTTGAGAAAGTCTGAGGAAGCAGTCAGTAATGCGGATCCACAAGTCAGAGAGTCCCACCCCTTGTGTAGTGTTCAAATCTGCCAACCTCTGGTTTCCTTGGCCTTCGTAGTCTATGTTTTGGGCTAACCAGCCTTCTTTTGATTCCCACAGTCTTACTTATGGTATAATTTATTAGATTTCAGTTTGTCAAATTATAAAATTCCAGTCCTACTTTTCCCTTTTTTGCCTCCCAGAGATTATTCCCAGGTCACTCTGGTTGGAATTTGGGGTATCTCTACTCCCACTATCAGAGACATTAGTACACAGCGTTGTTTTACTTCCCCAGGTGGCATCTACTGGTTATAGAATTTACCTGTTTTAAACTCAGAAGGCAGCCGTAATCCTGGAGTCTTCACATTTTGAGGGGAGCACCTTATTGTTATGCATGCTAACTCCTTATCCCTGACCATTGGAGATTCAGAAAGTGGGTGGAGGAGGTGGAATAGATACCAACTGGAGACAGCAATTACTAATCTGAAAGTTCAGACTTAACTAGGAGTTGCGAAAATTTCTAAGATACTTTTAGACCATGTGAAAGAAATCATTCCTTCAAAGCACATTGCTTTCAACTTATTTCCTCATTCTGAAACTGTCGTAAGCTTAACCATTGATCGCTTCTTGTAGTGTTTTGAGTTGGGTGAAGTAAAAAGGACGCAGATGCCTTTTTGTAGCATTTCATTGTAGGTTGTTTTAGGGACATCTTACTTTGGATTTGTCTAAACACTAGAACAAATTGTTTACAGTGACTGTCATGGAGAAGGGATGGGAGTGGTGGTGGTGATGGGGAGAGACACTTTGACTTTGACTTCATATACTTCCATATGTTTTGGCTTTCCACTCCAATACTCTTCTACTGCTTTTGTAATATATTCAAAAAAATTGAAAAAACTTAAAAGATTGGAAAACAATAATTATTGTTATAATAATACATAATTGCAACAATAATGATGTTGTCATTGAGGTTTTACCGCTGCAACTGCTATTATTACCAATGATATTACTAAGGGCCTCCTACATGCTGGCTTATATAATAAGCATAAAAATGATCTCATTCAACTTTTCAAAGCAAGCCAGTGAGGTAGGAATTATTTTATTGTTAATGCAGCAATGAGAAATTGAGGCATAAGGTTAGGTAACATCTAGTCAGGCAGAAGTCAGTGCAGGAGTTGAGGTTTTAACTCCAGGCTGTTCAGCTCCAAAGCTGAAGCCCTTTATTAGTACTTCATACAGCATACCCTATTTCTTACATTTTCAATTAAAATGTACTAAACTTAAGCAAAATGCTAATAATTGAGTGTCCCTGGATGGATCTAACCAATAGGAAGAGTTAGTACATTAAATAAGAAACTGATTCCCTTTTCTATTATTTAGTAAAACATTATTTAATACTTATTTATTAAATAAGTATACTTATTTAATAATTATTTAGTATCCTGTTACTTAGTAGAATTTTACTTATTGTGTTATTTAGTAAAAATCTTCATATAGCAAAATTGAATATATTTATCTTAAGAGTTACAGAGAGCAGAACTTGTGAACCATAGAGTTAGGAATGGAAGAGGCTGTAGTTAGAAATATAAGCAGACAGCCCAGATGGAGCCACATGAGATAACAATGCCTTGGTATGGTTATCACATTCTGAGAAATTGGCCTCCAACCCTGCAGGGTCAGAAGTTGGATTTTTGTCATACCTCAAAACTGGAAGTGTAGACTGGAAGCAAGCAGCCAAACTCATGAGAGACCGCTTTACAAAGTGGAGTGTGTATTTCTTGGCTGCCACTGATCTGAGTCCTTGAAGGCAAATTAGCACATTCTCTTCCTAAAAGAAGGACTACTTTACCATTATCAAAAGTGTGCTTGAAAGTTCAAAATCACATATAGAGAATGTTCCTTCTGTGTAAGGAAAAATAAGAAAATATCCATGTATCTGCTTAGCTTTATAAAAGGAAACACACAGGAATGATAAACTGGAGAGGAGTGGTTACCTACAAAGAATGGAAGGAGAACAAAATATAGAAGAGGAGGCAGAACGCACCTGGGAGGAACTGACACTTGTCTAAGTATACCCTTTTGTATAAGTATGACCTTTGAAAGCATGTTAGTGTTCTATATATTGAAGAAATCAGTAAAGATGAGATGGGGGGTGGGAATCTAAAACAATCTACATAAAATTTATTTTAATGGCGGTACCCAGGGCCTTGCGTATGCACTCTACCACTGAGCTATGCCCTCCCCACTATATCTCTTTGTTGATATTTCCATATTATTCATACATTGTTTTCTTGACTTTCTCCACATCTTCCTTTTGTTCTTTGAGCATCTTTAAGATGGTTGTTTTTAAAGTCTTTTTTGAATAGACCCACCATCTGGCCATGACAGTCACTGTTGATTTTTTTTTCCCATTTGAATGGGCCATACTTTCCTGTTTCTTTGCGTGTTTTGTGATATTTTTGTTGAAAACTGGACATGTAAATCTACTATATAGTAACTCTGGTACTCAGAATCTCCTCTGTCCCCAGGGTTTGCTCTTTTTCTTTTGTTTCGGTTTTGATTGTTGCAAGGATTGTTGGTCCTCTGTGCCAGGGATCAGCCTTGAAATGTAAACTTAAATCTTCTCAGTCCTTGTTACTTCGACCACCAGGTTTTACTCAGAAGAACAATTTCAAATTTTGTAACAAAAGACCTTCAAGGGTAATCTGGGTGATTTAAAAAGCCAATTCCAACATAAGTTTGCACTTTCCTTATAGAATAACCTAGAGAGACGCTTTATAACTTGCTTGAACACCTCACAGCAAGTTCTATAAGTCTCAAGCATGTTTGACTTTTTAGCAGTTGCTTTCAGTGGCCTCTTACCATATTGCTGTGATATCAAGAATGCATCTTTCCTTCCTTTTTTTTCCTTCTCTTCTGTGTCATGAAGTATAAGCTTCTTTCTTATTTGTTTTCCTGATTGAACTGTACGTATTATAAGCCTTCCTTGAAATTGGTCACTCTTGGGAAAATGAAGGATGTCCCCTTTCCCCTTTGTTTGCCTAAACAAATGAAACAAAGAGAAAAGTCTAAAAGTCTAAAATCACATGTACAGAACATATTTCATGTTTGGATCCATGTAAGACCCAGGACTACGTTCCCAGATCTACACAGGAAAACTTAGCTAAGAAACACTGTCTGTATCTTCTCACATAGTTGGTGAGGCTCAACAAGCAAGCATATGAAAGTTCTTTAAAAAACAAAAAAAACTTGTCTATACTGAATTTTCTTTGTAAAGGAAAAAAAAAACACTCAGGCTGTGGGGGAAAAATGTAAAAACTAGAAAATTGAAAGACTCAATAATCTTACCTTCTGTGAAGGAACTGCTGTTAATTTGGAAAGTCTTCAGACTAGCTGTCTATTCAAATATTATGTATAATACATATAATATGTATTATTTAATAGTAAAATCACTACTAGTCTTTATGTTCTACAGTTCGATTATAAAAAGCATGTCTAAAGTAGTATCTTAAATTCATGTAGTGTAGTTTGAAAGGAGGTCAAAATGTGGTAAAAAACAATACATCTCATTTTAATCAAATGGATGTTCGGTTTACTGTTCAGTGACATCTTAGTTGGTAAAAATGTAAATGTATTAGAAATGAAGATTTCTAGTTATAATATGAAAATAAGTGAAAAATCTTCTCGTTTTTTCACAACATATGGACTAAGGATAATTTTGTGTATATATGTGCTTCTTTCAGGGCTTGTGGTTGGATTTATCCTGACCATTGCAAATTTCAGCTTTTTTACCTCTTTGCTGATGTTTTTTCTTTCTTCCTCGAAACTCACTAAATGGAAGGGAGAAACAAAGAAGCGTCTAGATTCAGAATACAAGGAAGGTAAAATGAATTCTGTTTAATGTTACTGTAAATAGTAACCTTTATTTCATCTTAACACATCATCATCTTTTAATTAGAATATGTTGAGACTGTTAAGACATAAATTTTATATGAGAATTGCCTTAAGTAGTAGCCTGATTTAGTTTATCATTATTTTACTGCAATAACAAGTAACAGCAGAATTTTAGAAGTACTAAAGTCTATCATTAATTATTCTTAAACAGTACAGAATGTGGACGAAGGAATCATCCCACTTTTAGTCATTCTTTAAAATTTAGTAATTTTTCTTTTCTTAAACTTTAAAATATAAGTTCCTATAACCACGTGCTTTTCCTCCTGAAGGGAAAACATTTCTTGTCCTTTTCTTTCTTTTGTTTGTGCCTAGGTGGGCAGAGGAATTGGATTCAGGTGTTCTGTAATGGAGCCGTGCCCACCGAGCTGGCCCTGCTCTACATGATCGAAAACGGCCCTGGAGAAATCCCGATCGACTTTTCCAAGCAGTACACTGCTTCCTGGATGTGTTTGTCTCTCTTGGCTGCGCTGGCCTGCTCTGCTGGAGACACGTGGGCTTCAGAAGTTGGCACTGTTCTGAGTAAAAGCCCGCCGAGGCTGATAACAACCTGGGAGAAAGTTCCAGTTGGTGAGTCTTCTAAGTTTTTTTTTAAAGCAAAATTGAAGAAAAAGCCTCTTGATTAACCGTGTTTCTTATTTAAGAGCCTTTTAAGAATTTCAAATAGTCTCCTTAATTGGAAAATTGCTACAGGCTATTAAATTGGTGATAATAAATAATGCTTGCAGGAAATGTTAGCAAGTCCTAGATAAAAACACAGAAGCAGAGACTGACCCATGGGGTTGTCAGTGGGAAAAGAAAAGGAAGAAAATAATAGCGTGTTTCTTGAGGGCCTCTTATGCGGCTAGTGCTTCAGCGTGTATCTCAGTTCCCCGTTACCATTACCCACTGCTGCTGCATTTTTATCATTGTCGCCTCCTTTCCCTTCCTCTGCCTGAACCTCGTCCCCCTCTTCCTCCTTCTCTTTTTCTTCCTTCTCCCTCCTCTCCTGTTCATCCTTTTTTCCTCTTCATCACCATCATCGTTGTAACAGCTAACATTTGAGTGCCTCCTGTGTGCAAAGCACTCTTCTCACTGCTCTGCCTGGGTTACTGTTTACCACTCTTAATAATCGTGTCAGATGGTTCTTTGACTGTTTACATCTTACAGGCAAGGACGCTAAGACATAGAGAAGTTAGGTAACTTCATCACAGTCACGCAGCTTGGAAGTGGCAGAACTAAGATTGAAACCAGGCAGTCTGGCCGTACTGAACTATTTCACTTCACTGCTTAGGATGTCAGGCGTTACTAAGGAAAAAAAGACTTTTCTAAGTAGGATGGTGTTTGGATTGCAGCAAAGAGAGCCCTTTCTTTAGTCTTGGATAGATAGGTACCAAGATTTTTGCTCTTTTTGACGGTCTGTGTTTGCTGATTATTAACCAGATGATTTTATCCATGTTCTTTAGGGACCAACGGAGGGGTTACGATGGTGGGCCTTGCCTCCAGTCTCCTTGGTGGGACCTGTGTGGGTATCGCGTACTTCCTCACACAGCTGGTTTTTGTTAACGACTTGGACATTTCTGCTCCCCAGTGGCCAATTATTGCATTTGGGGGTCTGGCTGGATTACTAGGATCAATTGTGGATTCCTATTTAGGAGCTACCATGCAGTTTACTGGTGAGGATATTACCTTATTATTGCAGCTTTTTGGTGTATTAAAGAAATGGGAACTCGGCCACACACAGTGGTGGCAGGGCCCAGCTTCTACAAAGATGACATGTTTTAGACAATACTCATGTATCGGCAAAAAAAAACTCGAGGACTGCATTTTTGAGTAATTGTATAACAGGTTATTTTAGTTTCCTTTCTGTGAAAAGTGTAAAGCATTCCAACAAAGGTTTTCAATGTAGGTGTTTTTTTTTAACCCATGCCGTTGATCACTAAACATAGTAGTCTGATCATGACATTGAATAAATGTCTTTTTAAAAACAAGAAAGAAATAGGTAAGAAATATGGAAAAGAAAAAAAAAAAGATGTGGTAATAAAAACAATCCCAAAGACACAGGTTGCTGAGAGACCAAGAATGAGAGGGCAGTCTTTTCTAAAATTTTGAATTTCTTACTCTTTTGTGTTAAATGAATTGAAAGAGACTTAGTTCTGCAGAGCAGTGAGTATAAGCTACGGAGGAAGGACATGATCGTGCAGGAGACAGGTGCTCTTCCTTATGGGACTTTCCCTAGTCCCAGAAAAGCAGAGCATTTGGAACCAGATCGTCGTAATGCCCCTTCTTCCATTTGTTTTCCAAGTCCTTTCGAGAAATAATTATTCTACTAATATGACTATACACATATGATGCATTTTTGTACTGTGACATTGTATTTACTGTCCTCCCCACTGAGTTTTTAGTCCTACTCAAGATATATGGGAGGGTCAGTTTTCTCCAGAATTTTCTATGCTTTGCATCTGAGGCTCTCCTGTCATGTCAGTATACTGACATATTCTTGTCAGGTGTGTATTTGCTCCACCCTCTAACAAACTTTCTTTTCTCCTTCGATTCGTACAGTGAAGAGGCTAGAAGTCTGGAGAAAGGTCCCCTGAATACAGTCCTCCCAGTTCTCTTCATGCCCCAAGATAATCCACTCATCCTTCCGTTCCCCTTCCCGCTGTCAGAACGTTTGTTCTCTCAGCTTCATTAGTCTCTTCCAGATGCTGAAGAGGAAGCAATGTGATTTTAATTTGTACTAAAGGGTCAGTAACCCTACACACACACACGCACGCACGCACGCACAGCCGCTACATGTTTTTTTAAAGAGCCTATGTTTTATTCTAAACTGTGTTCTGACTGGGGAAGTTTCTGATCATATTGAGTGGGTTGGAAAAAAATGTGGGCTGGGGTGAGAGGGCAGATTAATCTTTGTGTGCCTCCTTTTGTGAACACCTCGCTGGGTCCCCGGGATACATTGCAGAAGCTACAGACATGATCCTCTCTGGGGCCTCGCTGGGTGGTCTCAGAGGGGAGCCACTGGGAGGGCAAGCCTGGTCTGCCAGTTTCATGCCATCTCTGCCTTTCACATTGTCCCTTCTCCTGAGAGAAGTCCAGCATTACTGAGAGAACAATATTGAGACGTACTAAAACTCACTCATTCAAAGAGGCCTTTTGTAATCAAGGGTTCCATGTCGCTCACTGTGTGGGCTATCTGCTTAAGTCATTTTATGAGTGGCTGAGAATCTTTGAAAGATTATCTCCTCTGGAGGAGAGTGCTACTTTGTTGGTTTTGGTTTTGGTTTTGGTTTTTAATCAAGTCATTGGATTTTCCACCTCACTTGTTTCTCTTTCCTTGCAGGTTTGGATGAAAGCACTGGCATGGTGGTCAGCAGCCCAGCAAATGAGGTGAAGTGCATAGCAGGGAAACCCATTCTTGATAACAATGCAGTGAATCTGTTTTCTTCTGTCCTTATTGCTCTCTTGCTCCCAACAGCTGCTTGGGGTTTTTGGCCCAGGCAGTGAACTTTATTTCATTTTACAAAGGTTACAACTGTGGTCAGTTCAGCAAAATTTGCAATTCCAGGTTTCATCCCAAGAACAATAATGTAATGACAAAGCAGAAGTGCCAGCTCCTTCCCTATTCCATTAGGATGGAATTCCACATTTTTTCTCTCATTAACTTCCTTGTAACAGCTGACATCTTTCTGCTGAAAAACAAGAGTCATAGAATTTATCCATATTTTTCTTCTGCTGAGTGGACCTTCTTGTGCAGTGAAGCTATAATGTCCCTATATACTGAACTTAAAGTTCCTACATAGTAGATATAAATCTTGTTTTATTTGTTTAAATGAGTATGGGGACTAAAAGTAATAACGTTTTTAAATGGTTCTTGATTGTGGTGGAGAAATGCCACTGTGCCATTGATCCAAATGTTGTATCTGTTTTAAGTATTTTACAAAGATGTGTGTGGAAGCCTGAATAAGAGTACTGTCATAGAATTCTCCCATTATTTTCCGTTTATTTCTGTGGAAAGTGTGGAGTTTGATTTCTGCTAAGCTGTGAGATTTACTCCACATTTGTTCTTCCTTCCTCAGAGTTAATAATAGGGGAAAAAAAAAGTAAGTGTCTTTCATGTGAACAGTAGAATGCATGAAAAAAATTATTTTTAAGTAAAAGCAAAGGGCATATATCTTCTGTCTAAAAAAATGTGCACCTTACTATATATTTCAGTTGGTAAGAAATTCTCTCAAATTTAATATTTTTTAATGTATTTTCTAGCTTTCTTTGAAATTTTATAGGAATCTGGTTTACATTGGCATCTTAAACAGTGAAAGAGTCACTGGAAAATGGCTGTAATTATTTTACTTGCTGTCCTAGAATTCACTGGAAGATGCTGTGAATTCCTGTTACGTACCTTCTAAGTTGCGCTTCCCTTAACATTATAGCCTTAACCAAAGTAAATTCCACTTTTCAGTTTTGCTCTTCACCATTATTTACCATGTGCTAGTGGGGTCTGAGATGGTATGGGTTATTGTGCTGAAAGGATTTTGAAATACTTCTCATGTCATTTCCATACCTTTCTTCTCCTGCCCCTTTTGCATTCATAGAAAAATTGAGAAATTCCGTGAATAAACCACTCTCAGAGTAGATAAAGTTTAGAATTCTTTATTGGTGACCCTACTACAGTGATTGTCTAGAACTGACTTGGTTCAGAAAGAATTTTTTTTTAAAAAACCAAACATTGACATGGTTTAAGCCTTAAGCCAGGCAGCTCAACCATTGGTTTTCAACATTGCGTGTACATTGGAATCCCCGGAGCATCTTTTTTAAAAAATGCTAGTGTCTGGGATTCACCCGAAGATTCTGATTTACCTGGTTTGAGGTACAGCCTGGATATTGGGACTTTTTAAAGCTCTGACTGTCCCTTAGAATCATGTAGGGAGTGTTTAAAAACACCGTTGCCAAGGCCCCTCTCTAAACCAAGTAAATCAGAATGTCTGAAAGTGAGGTCCATGCCTGGGTTAGTTTTAGAGAGCTCCCTGGGAGAGCCTAATGTTTAAACAGGTTGAGAACTACGAACTCGGAATCTTCTTGCACAGATGTCAAATCATTATGAAGGTAATGTTGTAGGTCAATCATAGTTCAATAAAAAAAGACAAAGGAAAAAAAAGAATAGCCTGTACTGAAGGAAGTCTCGGAAGAGTGGGGCTTCCATTTTTGTGCAGATGACTGTCAGCAGCGGTGCTGTATGCTGTCTTGATGGAAGGATAGCTTCTGGTAATTACAGTGTCTTAGCTGTATCACTTACCACATCATTCCTGCGTCAGTTTTGTGTGCAGCCTCTTTACTCCTACAGCTGTTCTAACATGCCTTTGCTCTCCTTTCCTGGCAGTTTAGCCTCATGATATACTATGGGACACAAATACTTATTGGAACCATTTGGGGGTTTGATAGACTCATCACACCATTAACAGTTTGGGGACGTAACTGCTTTACAGCCCTTTATTTGAAAACCTAGAGCTAGGTTGTGTTTCGGAATCAAAATTTTGCAGATTTCAGGAAAGTGATAGGGTACCTGTGAAGTATTTTTCTTAGAATTCCCAGAAGAGTCTAAGGTGGCACTCATTATCAGACACACTAATATTTCTGTGGTGAATATACGAATAACACCAGTAAGTGTGATAACAAGACTGTGAAGAGTCAGATCACGTTTTGTCACCAAATTTAGGGAGGAACTTTCTGTTTTCTGAGCTTTTTGGGGGTGTGCTAAAAAAAAACCTCTTTTTTTTTAATCTTACATATATTTTACTGTCACATCCTTTATAATTTGGATGTTTAACTTATTCAGCCTATTCGTCCTCTTTACTGAGTGAGCAGTTTATGTAAAAAACACTTTTGGTGGAAAAGACCTCCATATAACCACATAATGAAATAACATACTACTGCCTGCCTAGGCAGCCTAAAGGCATACAGACTGTTTCCTACCACGTGTTACACGGTAGGAGAGAGCAAGGCGCATGTGGCTTAGGGAGCTCCCGAAGGAGGCCTGAAGATGTCAAGGGGGGTATTTGAAGACTTATCAGATGGAGCCCCCAGAACTGTGAATTGATACAACAGATCACTCAATTCTTGGCTTGAGTTGTCTCTGCCTCAGCCCACGTGCATACATCTCTTTCTTATTTCCAGCTGCTTTATATGTAGGATGCCGGCTTCAGAAATGCCAACTTTATCCCAATTAGGTGCAGGCCTAGTACAGGGGAGATCATGTGAGGCAGCACATTGTAGGCTTTGCCACATGCCTGCAGTGTGAACAGCTGCTGCCCGTGGGCACGGTGGGTGTGCTGGAGCCCCATCATCTGGTGTGCCTGGTGCCGTCACAGCGAGAGAACACTGTACTTAGCCATCCAGTCCCAGGTGACATGTACCTGCTTGAAACATGAAAGCACAAGGATGCAGCTTAATTATTTAATCTCCAGATGGAGTACTGTTGCTGTAACTCCAAATGGTCCTGAACATTTTTAAAATATGTAAGTGTTCCGGTGTGTTGGGGAGGGTATAGCTCAAGTGGTAGAGTGTGTGCTTAGCATGCACGAGGTCCTGGGTTCAATCCCCAGTTTCTCCGATAAAAATAAATATATAAACAAACCTAATTACCCCCCCAAAAAATTCTAAAAATAAAAAAAGTTTAAAAAACATATACATATATATATGTGTGTGTATATATATATATATAAAGTGTTCAATATAGTTTTGTTAATTAAGTTTGACTTAACTAACTGAAAGTTGATCATCAAAAACATATTTCTGGAAGAAAATAAAAAATTCAAGCCTTTTCCTCAGGGTGGAGCGGGCGGCGCCATGGCGGCTTCGGGACCGCGTGGCCCTCGTTCCTGCAGAAGGAGGACGCTCCTCGCTCGCTGTCTGAGATCCAAGTCACTTTCTGACACTGAGAGTAAACAAGGGGAGAGGCCTTATAGCCATTTGAATATGTTCAGCCTTGAAGTGAAACAGACTTACTGAAGTCTGAGTCCTGAGAGACCGTGACCCAGGACACAGCCCTACCACTTACTTCACTTAGGATGACATTCTCTGGGAACATCCATGTTGCTGCAAATGGCGTTGTGTTGTTGGTTTTTATGGCTGAATAATATTGCATTGCATAAATATAGCACATCTTATTTATCCAGTCAAAAAAAAAATTCAAAAACCAATTTGGCTACCTGAATTTCAGAGGACTGTCATGACTCCAACATTTCTCAATCATGTGATGCAATATTAATGAGTTCCACTCATTTTGGAACTAATGAGTCAGGAAATGATTGTAAAAGGAATAAGAGTGAGGCCAGGCTGGCAGGGCAAGGCTTCTGAAATTATTTCCCTGCCGAGATGAGACATGTTAATTCTCTTTCATGTCTCATAACCACTCCCTTCAAAACTTATTTTACACATGGGGCAGCTCTTTTTTTAATGTGTGGATTTTTTTCTTTTTTATTAATGTTTAATTACTTAAGTAATACACTGAATCTATCCTTCTTTTTAAAAAATTAGAACATAAAATATTTCTTTGCCTCCATTACCCCTGGAACAAACCTAGCTTTCTCCCACCTTCCCCAAGATAACTACTGTTAGAAATTTGAGATATTTTCTATGTGATATTTGTTTTGAGTGTATTGTAGCATACGTTCTTCTTAATTAGTGAACTTTTGTTATAATTTTGTACTATCATTTTGCTTCTTCAACTTAACATTTAAGAAAAATCTGTTTAGGAAAGAAATTAGAAAGATGTATACCAAAATATTAATGTGTTATATCTGTTAAGATTACAGATGATTTTTACTTTTGTTGAAATAACTTTAAGTTTATGGTATATAAATTATATCTCAATAAAGCTATTAAAAGCATCTACACAAAAATGTTCAATGCTTTTCTAAAAAGTCTACAATCAAACACATTTCTTCTACAAATCAAAAGATGCTTAAAGTAAACAAAATAAACTCTGGGAATAACCCCGCTTCCCCACTACCCTTCCCCATTATTATTTTACATGATATTCCTTCTCTTTATAAACAACTTTATTAGCAACAACTTTAAAAAGTAAAGTGGGTTGTAACACAACAAACATCTGGTCACCCACCGTTCATTTGGTGTCTCTGTGCTGTAGGCACTGTGTGCGGAGGCTGGTGAGCCAAGACCAATGGGACAAGAACTGTGCCCTCCTGGTCTGATAAGAATGGGAAAGACAAACATGTTTAACCAGCATGTTGAACAGATATGATATGTGGACTGTGATTTTTTTAAAGTGGCTTTATTTCTGTCTACTTTTGGCCCTTTAAATTTCCCATAACCTTATATAAAAACTCCAGCAAGCCCTGAACATTTCTTCTTATTCCTAGAAACAGGTGGAAGGAAAGGTGACTTGTGAGAGAGCAGGGAACCATGTTCCCCTTTCCCACAGCAGGCTTCCAGCCTGAGCAGGTCCACGCTGAGGGTGGGGAGACTAAGTCAGATTTGATTTTTTTTGTTTGTTTTTTTGCTTTTGTTTTTTAACCCAGGTTTGTCTGTTCTAAATGCTGAACTGAGACTGTTGATAAACTAAAGTTTTGCTGATGCTGGTTGTTACTGAGTGAATGTTTGTATGCCCCCAAAATTCATATGTCGAAATGCTAACCCGCCATGTGATGGAGCTTTTGGGAGCTGATTAGGTCATGAGGTGGAGCCCTCGTGAGTGAGATTAGTGCCCTTATGAAAGAAACCCCAGAGAGCTCTCTTGTCCTCTCCACCACATGAGGATACAGAAGGAAATGGCCATCTGCATCCCAGAAGAGTGCCCTCACAGAATGTGGCCTTGGTGGCACCCTGATCTTGGACTTCGAGCCTCCAGCATGGTAAGAAATAAATTCCTGTCATTTATAAGTTGCCCGATCTGTGGTATTTTTGAGATAACAGAACAGACTAAGACACTGGCTTAGAAATGGGGGGAGATAGAGGCAGGGAGAAGAGAAGTGTGTGATGATAGTTTTGGTTGTCTGGGCTTGGGAGACGGCAAAGATGTTATGGGATGAGTCTGGTATAGAAGGTTAAACTTGGTATTAGCTTGCAGGGTGCTCTTGCGGGCTGTTCGAAGTTTTCCTGCTGAGCCCCTCTTTTACAGTTCTTCTTACGCCAGGAGATGCATCTCTAGATCAAGTACATCAGTTATCTATTTATGCAAACCACCCCAAAACTTAGTGGCTTAAAGCAGAAACCGTTTATTTGCTCACAATTTGTGGCTGGCCGAGTTGGGCTCAGCTGGGTGATTCTATTTTAGGTGGTGTCAGCCGGGTTCACTCACGCACGTTTGCAGTTGGTTGACAGGTCAGCTGGCGGCTAGTTGTGATGGCCTCCTTTGTGTGACTGGCACCTTGATGCTGACTGTTGGCTGCGTTTCTCGACGTGACTTGTCTGTCTTCCTCCAGACTTGTTTACCTTATGGCCTGATAACACAAGATTTCCAAGAAAGCAAAAGTAGGAGCTACAAGTTCTCTTAAAGCCTAGTCTTAGAAGTCTCATGATGTCATTTCCACCACCGTATCATTGGTCCAGAAATTTAAAAGGCTATTTAGATTCAGGGGGTGGGGAAATGTCCTTCACCTCTTCATGGCAGGAGTAGTAGAGTTACGTTGTAAAGGAGAAAGGTAACAGAGTTGTGGGGCACGAGAGACCATTATTCTAACAGCCTACCACTTCTCAGCTCCTGGGCATCTAGCCTTTTTCTGCTCATGTCTTCTCACCTCTTAGGTAGCCCTTTCAGACAGGATTCAAGACAGCCGCATGAGATGGTTTCACCAGGTGATCTGCGTATGCTCCACGGGAAAAATTCCTTGCTTTGACAACCCCTGGAAGCGCTAGCCAGTCTCAGTGCAGTGGCTTCACCATCATACAGGGAGTCAGGCATTTTCTCACCTTCTGGAATCCCAGGCAGGAGTCAACACCCAGGGTGAAAGTTGGCTTTAACTTGCTCAGGCATGAGTCAGGCACTAGCCATCTCTCTATCAACCAAAGGAAACACTCTCCAATGGTACACTTGAAGTTTCCTCCCCAGGTTGGGAACTCACAGCCTGGCTCCCACTCCCTCTGAAGAAACTGTTCACTACTCTCCCCATGGAAACTTTCTTCTCTCTGGCCCCATCAAATGGCTGGTCTGGCTGAGGAGTCCCAGGAGTTATGCAGCACGTCGTCAAGTTCTCTATGGAAGGGTGGGTGTGTGATCCTCACTTCAGTCTCCTGATGTCAGTCACGTTAGCATCTCCATCAAAACCGGGCAGTTAGTCATTCACATCCTAATACCCTGTGTTCACATGTGTTATGATGTCTGACTATAGCAAGGGTATGACAGGCAGTGAGAACGCTGCTAGTCCCTGCTTGGGGGTCTGGGAACACCTGGCAGAGAACGTTAAGTGGGACCTTAAAAGATAAGTAAAAGTTTGCCAAGTCAATATGGTGGGGACTCCCTCCCAGAGGGTATGGTAACAGGCAGAAATCCTGAGTTGTGAAGGGTGTGACATTCTTGAGGGGGAAAAAAATTTCACTGTGACTGGAGATTAGGTAGAGGGAAGTTGTATGAAATGAAACTGGAGAGGTAGATTGAGATCCATTTGTAAAGGGCCCTAATACCAACTATATGACCTTGGGACAAAACATAGTCTTTCTGTATGGAAATTGGGGCTCGTACTTCCATTTCACTATATCGTTGATATTCCAATGAGTCAATATATGTGAAAAGCCTTTGGAGAAACCATGTGTTGTAGGCAGAATAAGGGTACCCAGAAGATGTCCATTGTCCCTGTCTTTGAAACCTGTGACTATTTACCAAAAATGGCAAAGGGCACTTGCAGATGTGACTAAGGTTAAGAACTCTGAGGTGGAGAGAGTAGCCTGGATTGTGCAGGTGATACAGTCTCATCACATGCATCCTTAAAAGGGGAAAACCTTTCCTGGCTGTGATCAAAGAAAGAGACGTGACTGCAGAAGGAGAGTCAGAGAGATGCTCGTTTTGAAGATGAAGAGGAACATGAGCCAAGGAAAGTGAGCAGCCCCTGGAAGCTGGAAAAGGCAAAGAAACGTGTTCTTCCCTGAACCTCCAGAAAGAAATGCAGCCCTGCTGACACCTTGTTTTTAGGACTTCTGACCTACAGAACTATAAAGCAATAAATCTGTGTGTTTTAAGCCACTCAGTTTATGATATTTTTCCAGCAGCCACAGAAAACGAAGAGGCCAGGTCAGCTTTGAAAGGCAGCGTAATGCAGCACTGGAGCTAGACTGCCTGGGTTCAGTCCGAGCTCTGCCACTCTAGCCGCTCAGGCCCTGTTTACCTAACCTCTCTCTCTGTGTCTCAGATTCCTCATCCACAAAACGGGGCTATTAATAGCAGCTAGCTCATAAAGTTGCTGTCAGGATCAACTGAGTTCAGTCTTGTAACATACCTCGCACAATCTCTAGCATATATTACACAATCAGTGAATGTTATCATGACTGTTTGATGCATCTAAAGTGCCATTGCAAGTACAAGTGGCTTCTACTCTTTTATATTTGTTATTATTGTTATTATTCTATGAAAAAGGTAACTCCCAACATTATATGAATGAACTGTGCTTATGTAGTTCATTTTGCAAGAGGTAAGAAAGAAAGAAAGAAAGAAAGAAAGAAAGAAAGAAAGAAAGAAAGAAAGAAAGAAAGAAAGAAAGATGGATGGATATATAATTTTTTTTTGAACATCAAACTGTATTAACCAAAACCTCATTCTTAAACCTTTGGGATGACTTTTCTCCTGAGATAATGGGTGCCTAAT